ACAAAACCCCTCCGATGGCTCCTCTACGTCAGCTGGAGAATATGTTTGTTTTCCTGCGTCCCACGGTCGGGACGTGCCGTGGCCGTGGACAATTCCCCGGAGGGAGATGAGGGCACCATCCCGCCCTGCCGCCCCTTTCCCCGCGGGAAAACTGGGGCTATCCCCGGCCGGCAGCACCGCGGGGACTTGCTCCCGCCGACGTCCCCTCGTGCGGGGGGCCGTGGCCCTTCATGGGGTTTACTGGCTTCGGGGGTTGCAGCACCGTGCAGAGGACAGGATTAGGGGAAAGAAAAAGGGTATCAAAGCTTTTGCCAGGCACATACTGGAAACAGTAGTTCCTGGGAGACAGCGGGATACAGCACTGGGATTTTAGTCCTTCCTGCGAGGTCGCTGAGTTTTATTGACTGCAAAGCCCAGATCACATCTGAGCCTGAGCACCCTGAGGGCCAGCACACCCCTCGAGCACTCCCGATGCCCCACCACGAGTGACCTATCCCTTCCCTTTTACAAGCACAATAAATATAGCAATATAATTACCACACAGTAACAGATTAATTTTGTGGCAGGGGAAAACCCTTTGTATCCAACTCCATCGCATCTTGGGTGCTTTCAGCGATAACACCCGAATCACCTTGAGAAAGTCAGTCTGTACCATCCACTTACACTTGAAGATTGAGCTTATCAGAGCATGAGGGAAGCACTGAAATATGTGTCATAAAGGGACCCAGGAGGAAAACAGGCTGAAGCCTCTTGAAGGAGTCTGTCAGTGGGGACTAGACCAGGTCTGGGGACTAGATCAGGTCTGCCTGGGTCTGTAGGACGTAAAATGAGACTCGGCTGGAAAAGCAAAATTTGCACCTTTTCTTGTAAGTGGGCAAAAAGAGCCCACTCACCCCCCGAGAGCTATTTCGGGGAGCATCTGATATGAAACCAGGCATAGAAGGTTGGGTGGGGACTTTCCAAAGACGTCAGCGATGACGTGGGTTCGGGCGGGCTTGTTTCTACGCAATGCTGGGTGCCGCTGCTCGTCTTTGTGGCGTACCAAAAAAAGCTGTGAAGGGTTAATCTATTCTGAAGATTAATCAGAAATGATGGCTCCTATAACCACCTTCACCTTCAAACTGGTGGGGATCCCCACAGCTGAACAGCATCTTCCGTCACCGCTCCCATGCGTTGGGTGATGTATGCTGCTGCCCAAGCTCGGTTGCAGAGCCTCCCAAAGGCTGTAGTTGTTTTTTCTTCTAAATTGACATCTAATTGCCTCTGTGTAGGACCCATAGCCTGAAAAGGCTCCAGTAATATGTCTGTGTGTTGCACCTTTTACAAATCGAGGTACCCACTCACGCAAGGTCGGCTCCGAGGTGCAAAATGGCTTTGGCGGCTGGACCCCAGCACACCCCCCAAGCACACCCAGCTCAGCAGCGAGCTGACGGCAAGGCTAAGCCCCAAATCCTACAAAATAAATACTATGCCCTTGCCGATAACGGGAGATATTGATTTTTGTCACTGTTGCTTGTTTTCTGCCCTTTCACTTTGTTGGCCTCTCATCAGAGGCCGGTTGGGAAAACACAGCAGTGGTTGGACCTGAGCTAACAAAAAACCCACCTCCCCACCCGGCATGAGGGGCAGTGCCCACGTCTCCTCCTTTTGCCTGAGTTCAGAGGAACGTGCCCCGTGCAAAGGGTGATGCTTGCTCTAAAGGCGAGCACCGAGGCGAAGTCTCGAAAGAGTGATGGTGAACTGATTTTGCTGACTCTGCAAAAAAATCTTTGCTGGAAATTTCTTTTCCACTGGCCGCTTTTGAGAGAAAACCACGCTGTTTCACCTCCAAGGGGTTAACGCACCGAGCGAGCTGCGCTTTGACAGCTATGCCTGAATCACTCCCCCTAAATAAAACCAAAAGGAGCCTGGAATTGCTGTATGAAGGAGGAGGGATGTGCTGCATTACTACCACATGCTAAATCTTCCTGCTTTGAGGACCTGACAACCGCCTTTCCGAGCTGTACGTAGCCAAGACGTACGATCTGTCAGGAAAACGCTGAGCCCATGTTCAGGCTCCTTCCTCCAGCCCCACGTGGGCTGGTTTGCTGCTGGAGGGAGGCAATAGGGCTTGGGGGAGAAACTAACACTGAAAACGAGGTTGCTCTAAGCCTAAATTCTGCTTTTTTCTCTGCTGCTGTTTTATTTGATGGCTGCAGTGGAGGTGAGTCAGTTCTTGGAGCCTGTGCTGCAAAAAACAAGCTGCTAAAGTGCAATAAATCGCTCACGTTCAACACGCAGGATTGATGGACCATGGGGCTAGAGGATTCTTGGGCTTCAGGGAAAAAGATGGCTTAAAGGGAGGAGTGGACCTCAAAAAATCAGTGTTTTTCTGTAATTCACCGTGGCATGGCCATGCCTTTCTGTTTGCAAAAAGGCCAGGGCTGCTCCTCACTCGGCTGCGGGCACAGCGTGTCCAGGGCGCGTTGTGTCACTGTTATTAACCGCTCAGGACACCGAAGGGCCTTATCTCCCGTGCTCGGTCGTCTCCGTGGTGGGCTCTTCCCCTGCCCCAGAGCCTGTTTAATCTTATTCCAGCTTCCAACAAGAGAGGGGGGCCTTGCAGGCACTAAAGCCCCAACCCTCTCCTGCCTGGGGACCACGAGGAGCAGCAGCCCTCGGCGGCGCGGGAGGTTTCTTTTCTTTTCTGACACGACCGCTGCTCGCTCTCGTTCCAGCCGTGCAGAACGAGCGCGACAGGATCAGCGTTCGCAGGAGCAGCTACGAGGACAACGGCTCGCTCTCCATCAACGTGCTCACTCAGGCCGAGGCCATGGCGCAGCAGGTATGAAATGGGGGGACGGCCCTTCAAACCGGTACGTGGCCTTCAGCTGTTCTGTATAGGGGTGCTGGTCGACAGCCGGCTGGACGTGAGCCGGCAGGGTGCCCAGGTGGCCAAGAAGGCCAACAGCGTCCTGGCCTGTACCAGCACTAGTGTGGCCAGCAGGAGCAGGGCAGGGATCGTGCCCCTGTACTCGGCACTGGTGAGGCCGCACCTCGAATCCTGTGTTCAGTGTTGGGCCCCTCACTACAAGAAGGACGTTGAGGTGCTGGAGCGTGTCCAGAGAAGGACAACGGAGCTGGTGAGGGGTCTGGAGCACAAGTCTGATGAGGAGCGGCTGAGGGAGCTGGGGGTGTTCAGTCTGGAGAAGAGGAGGCTGAGGGGAGACCTCATCGCTCTCTACAACTACCTGAAAGGGGGTTGTGGCGAGGTGGGGGTTGGTCTCTTCTCCCAAGTAACCAGCGACAGGACAAGAGGAAATGGCCTCAAGTTGCGCCAGGGGAGGTTTAGATTGGATATTAGGAAAAATTTCTTCACTGAGAGGGTGGTCAGGCATTGGAACAGGCTGCCCAGGGAGGTGGTGGAGTCACCATCACTGGAGGTGTTCAAAAAATGTGTGGATGTGGTGCTTCAGGACATGGTTTAGGGGACATGGTGGCGCTGGATTAATGGTTGGACTTGATGATCTTGAAGGTCCTTTCCAACCTTAGTGATTCTGGGTTATGAACCCACTAAACGACCCAGGGCTGGATCTTTTTCTGCCTTTGGATGGCTCTTGCACAAAGCCACAGGGAAGAAAACGCATTAGAGATACCCGAAAGCAGACAGAAAAATCCTTGGTGCATTATCAAGACAACATGTCCTGCAAGGAGCAGCTGCAGCCTTTGGCGTGTGAGATGCAAAGCTGCAATCCAAGGGCTGAGGGATGTTGTAGACCTCGGGTCCCCTCTGTACCCAGCCTAAATTGTCGCTGCACCCCTAAAAACGCACTGCACCTCATGAAGAAGTTTACCCCTCCTTGCTGCACACTCTGTCCGGCTCAGAACACAATGTTCCCGTCATGGTTGATTATATCTTTTCTTGTAACTTCTTCACCAGGGCAACAATTTTAGGGGAGAAAAATAAACCTAATAAAATCGCTGGGCTTCAGCTAACGCTGATTGCTTTCTTATTTCATGTTCCACAACGAATTTCACCCTGCTCGTCCTTTAAATTCTTATGCAAATATCCTTTCTCCACTGAAACATACGGTCCAGATGTTGCATATTACATGCAGCAATGCGTCTGCTTCCTTTTCAAAAATTACTATGTTTTAACCCTCTCCCCTCCATGCAGCTTTTTAGAGATTGAAACGGGTGTTTTGTGTCCCAGGCAGCAACTTGGGGGAGAAAGGCTGGATGCATTTTGTGCATTTGGCTGACTTATGTGATTGATGGGAAGCTGAGACCCAGTGCTCCTGGCTAGTGCTAGGAACGGGAAGATTGATCAGATTTTGTCCTAAACCAGCCTGGAGAGTTGGGAAGGAGGTGGAGGAGGGAGGGGTGTCTGTTGGGACCGAGCACCACCTCGTGGAGGCTTCACCGTGGGCTGTACGTTGGACAGTACACACTGCTGAGCAAATAAGAGTGCAACCACAATGGCAAACGTCAATGACCTGATGAGGTCAATGGCTGTGAAGGCTCCTCATGTTACCAATAAATCGTTGCTGTCGAGGATGGCAAAACAGCACTGACCTGGTCCCAGTGCACGCAGGTGGTTTCTCTTTCAGTATTCGTCACTGAGTCCGGCGCACAGCGCAGACATCGCGATGAAGAAGGTCGCAACCATCAATGACGTGTGTGAATCCATGAAGCAGCAGCTTCTGGTGCTGGTCGAATGGGCAAAATACATCCCGGCGTTTTGTGAGCTCCCACTTGACGACCAGGTAAGCTGCAAATGCTTCTTCCCTGCAAACCCACCACCTTCCACAGGAATTCCCAGCCGTACGTTTCAACAGGGGAATCTGACAGTAACGTATAGATCTCCCTATGCAGAGCAAGAAACTAGCAGGAGAGGAAGGATAATAAAGGACAAGGGTTTGATCAAAATTAGTCCAGCAGCCAAAATCCCCAGAAATGTAAGAGAGTTGCACAGAATACGCGCAAGGACCCAGTCGAAAAGGACTGGGTTTCCCTTATCGATACCTGATAGTGGCATGTAAAAGCCATTTATTTGCTGAGAACTCAAGTTACTCGAGCCCCTTTTTGCTCTTTCATTTGAAAACAACTTTGTATTTAATTTGCCATGAATGTAGCACTTCTGAAAAGTGAAGATATATTAACAATTTCTAGCTCTTAATAGTATTTTCTCTGTAGATCTGACATGTCTAAAGAAACACCAAATTTGGCTTAATCGAAAGAGCAACAGCTCATCGCTCCGTTCTCTGCTTTTCAAATGTAATGTAATTTCTTTCTTCTGTGCCATCTCCAGGTTGCCTTGCTCAGAGCCCACGCAGGGGAACACCTGCTCCTCGGGGTAGCCAAGCGGTCCATACCATACACCGATTTTCTGTTATTAGGTACAGTAGGGAAATTCATTCCTGCTTTTATAACTCGCACACACGAGTCATTGCCAAATACTCTGCTTGCCTGAAATCCCCTCTGGACTCCTTCACATGGTCTGCACATCTGGCTTGGAACTAAGAGCTTGAGAAGGTCTCGGGAGGAGTGTAAAAAGGAGCAGGAAAATTCACTGGGACTTTTACAATTGCTCCCTTACTGTTCTGAAATTGTGGATGAGAAAAACTCCAATATTTAAATGGCATCTCAAACTGTGTTGCCTTGTTTTTGTAACTGGAATTGCCAGGACACAGGCGATGAGGTATTTGGGTATCAGTGCTTAAGAGCTTAGCAGAAAGTTCTATTAAAAATTATAGTGCAAATAGGTATTTCCTTTTCATGTAGCTCCCTGCCACCAAAAACGCAGGTGATTTTATTCTTGGAAAAATGAGAATACTGACCTTGAAAGCCACACATGAAAGAAAAGAAGAAGGGGGGGACTTTGTTTTAAAAAACAAACCACCAAAAACAAAGATGTAACACCACTTGCAAACAGATGCTAGGTATAACAGAGGGTAAACTGGAGCAGAACGTGGAGCAGGCTTTGTGTACACTGTGGGTGCACCAACACGTGCAAACGAGGCAACTAAGGACCGAAGAACAAAATCCACAGCTTGCTTCTCAACCATGAATCTGAGTATCAAGCTGCACACTGGAAATCTGCTGCACATGGACACAGGGACTATCTGGGAACATGCCCCGGGGTAACTTCTGGGTGAGACCTTGTCCTCACAGAGCTAGAGCGAAAATTTGATGCCAAAATTGTCTTGTGTCCCCAGGGAATGACTTCATCATCCCAATGCACTGCCCAGAACTGGAAATCGCTCGTGTGGCCACCAGAATCTTGGACGAGTTGGTGAAGCCCTTGCGGGACATCCAGATTGATGACAATGAGTATGCTTGCCTTAAAGCCATCATCTTCTTTGACCCAGGTAAGCTTCCGTCCGGATTGCCGAGCACGGGGCTTGAAAAGCAGGTGAGGGCTCTCCAACCACCAGGACAAGCCCTGGGCAGCAGCTCTGCATTCCCCCTGCCCCTGCTGTAACGAGCCGTACTTAGCGGCGCAGCAAGGACGTGTTAGACGTGACCTATTCCGGAACACAGAAACACAGAATCACTAAGGTTGGAAAGGACCTTCAAGATCATCAAGTCCAACCATTAATCCAGCGCCACCATGTCCCCTAGACCATGTCCTGAAGCAAGTAGTGAGTCCAGCCAGACCCATGTGCAAGACTCTGCAGGTCCTAGAGGAGTTTTGCTGCTTCCGTGGCTTTTGGCTTCAGGAAAGCCATCAGTCTGAAACGGAGGAGATGACTATTAAGGACATATATGTCTATAGTGAATTATGCATAAGCAAAGCGAGGTAACCGAGCAGCGGTGCAGAGCATCCGTCGGAGCTCAGAAAGCAGCATTAAAAACCGCGGAGAGCCGGACTGGTCGGAGTACCCAGAAATACCAAGGGTGTCTGTTAACGGATCTTGCTGGCAGGCAGTACCGACCGAAGGCAGGGCTGATCCTCGCAGGGTGGAGAACGGGGAAACACAAACCAAAAAGCTTGTTTTGAACCTTTGCTGTCTCCTCATTCCACAGCCTCGGAGGTTTCTGTCTCAGCCCAGGTTCCCCCCAAACACTCCTGTTTCTACACGCCCACAGCACGCTCGGCACCTCCGCTTGTCACAACGCGCGAGTCCCGTCAGGGTGTATTGCCCTGTGGCTTGGAGAAGAGATGGTGGAACAATCCCAAGTCCAGAAGAATGCCCTTTTCTCTTTGGCATCTATTAGCATAGAGAAAATAGTTATTTTTTGCTGTGTTCGCTGATTTGAAATCGAGATACAGGAGTTTTACCGGCATCCTGGACTTTGGCTCGCTAAAGAGCCTGCTGCAAACCTGAGTAAGGGTGGTATTATCCAACCGAGTTTGACAAATTACCTTCCTGCCTGACCATTTTCAGCAAAGATTTTATTTAGATTTGGATTTAGTTGATTTAGACCACTGCGACAGCGAGGCGCTGTGATTTCATCTGAAAGGAAGAAGTGCGAAGCTCTACAGAGGTGAAATTCATTCGTGCTAAGAAGTAGGCATGTCCATGCAGTTCCACGCTGACGGACAATAACTTGTTAACCATTCTGTCTCATCTCTTGGCATGACGATCCCTAAAATGTGGTGCTTGTGGCTTCTTTGTAGACAGTGAAGGAAATGGTCCAGTGAGCCAGAAATCTCAGTTTTAGATAGCAAGAGAGGCAGTAAAGCTGTAAATCCTGGCACTTCACCCTGCCCAGAGAGCATGTTTATTTGCGTAAGCAAAACTGGACCAGTGGTCTGTGAAAAACGGATCGACCACAGGTCAAAGACGGGAAATCAAGACAAGAATCTGGTGCTGCAGCGGGTGCAGCAGGCAGGCACTACACTTGTGTGGATTTAGTGGTAGTAGTTCAACTCAAAGTTTTCAGAGGGAAATTTCAGGCCACTTCCTTGGAAGGACAGATACGGTTCAACTTCTAAATCCTTCCTCTTCACTGATGGCAGTAGCCAGATACATCCATCTGAAACGAGCTCTTATTTTCCTGCTATTTCCCCTCAAATAGCCTATGGCATGTGAGATACTTACTTAATAGTGGCAGCCTGATGCTCATCTGTCAGGTAAACTTGGAGACTCAGAGATAATTGTCAGAGGATCACTGGCATCTCATCCTTTTCCCCCTACAGACCCTGATGGACAGGCTAACACTTTTTGCTTACACAGGCCAGCAATTATGTTCATTTTTTTCCCCTCCCAGACTGCAAAGGCCTGAGCGAGCCTGGAAAGGTGAAGAACATGCGCTTCCAGGTCCAAGTCAACTTGGAGGACTACATCAACGATCGCCAGTACGACTCCCGAGGCCGGTTCAGCGACATCCTCCTCTTGCTGCCCCCACTGCAGAGCATCACCTGGCAGATGATAGAGCAAGTCCAGTTCGTGAAGCTCTTCGGTGTGGCCAGGATTGACAGCTTGCTGCAGGAGATGCTGCTGGGAGGTAGGAACCCTGCTGAGAAAGGGCAGCAGAGTTGTTTTATTTCAAGGTCATTACAGGGCTTCATAACTGGGTTTGTGTCCTTTTCTGGAGGCTCTTTGGTAGAGAGAACTTGGTCTTGGGAGGAAGGAAGTGAAGGCTCGGGCTGAATTGTAGCTTGAACATGGGTCCTTCTCACTCCAGTCCGATGCCCAAGCCATTTCTTTCCAGCCTATCTCTGAAAATCTGACCCGGGATCAGTTTTATAGAAACGGGTACACTCTGTGGTGCTTCACACCAGCAGGGCACTCGCATTTTACACAACCTACCAAAATGATGCAGTTTGCCAGAAGATAACATATTTTTTCCTAGCGATAGGCAAAAGTTATAACTATATGGGAAACCCTGATACGAGCAGGAATTGGGACACACAGGGAGACAGATGAACAGTGCAGTCAGTTACTAGCTGAAACCCCAGCCATCCCAGGAGGTTGCCCCTAGACAGTGAGAAGGCTGAGAGCAAAGAGGACAGCCGGAGCAGGAAGGAAGCAAAGATGAGCCAGGACATTAACCCCCACCCACAGAGGTCTTCCACATTCTCTGAAAAAAAAGACATTTGGCTCAGAGCGTCTGGCTTCTCGGTAACTATGCAAAGAATGATGTCTTTTCCCACTTCCACTGCAGGAACCACCATTGATCTCCAGTACCAGTCAGGACCTCCCAACCTCAACCTGGAACCGCTGCCAGGACACGTCCTCCCAAGCAACATGAGCTCTGTGATTCACACCGCTCCAGACCGTACGTGTACATTTTTACTCTATCAGTGTCTGCGTAATGAAGGGACCGGGTAGGAGAAGCAGTTAAGAAAAAGACCTTTAGGTTTATTTACACCTTTAAGCCTTACACTTGAATCGGAGTTCGCAGCCCCCCTTGCTGACCTCCTTTACTAGGCAGTCTGGAAACATGCTTCCAAAGAGGAGCTGAGATTTTCACGTAATACCATAATCCGGGGGGACTCTGAGATGCTACTAAACATAACAAGATTGAAAAAAAGACTCCAGATTGGTGACAGTGTATTTCTAGGAATGCGGGCAGCACTGGGAAATACCACAAAGCAGCACACACAGTTATTAGTGGCAAGAGTTTCCCCACGTAAAAGCGTCTTGGTTGCGGTCAACCACAACACAATCTGACCTGAATACAAGACCATCTTCAACCACTCTGGGCACTGTTGCTAGGCAATGGCTATTTATTTGTTAAGGCATTTATCTGCTGTAGTAGCAAATGGACCATGCTATTAAAAAAAAACCCCAAAAAGTAGAACAAGTTGGAATTTAACAACCACTGCCTTGTAATCACAATGTCTTGCACACACCGTCTCCTTCTGCCGGTTACGATCACCTATCTCTTGCAGCATATTTTGCTGTTTCTCAGCTATATCAATGTTGACATCACGTGTTTCAGCTGAGTTTTTTTAAGCCACATTGCAGCAAGGAAGGTTAGAGAGATGTTGTGCTCTGTAAATGCAGTACAGTGGCCAGCAGGTTGAACTCTCCTCTGACAAGGAGAGACGGGACTGAAAAGCAGTTGGGGACACTTCCCAGGTGCAAAATACTGAGAAGAATTGGTACGTGCCTATCAGTCCACCCTGTGCCTCATCACAAAGCAGGAAGGAAGAATATGCCAGAACATGCCTGAATTTGGGATGGGTCCCCCAAGCTCCTGCTCCTTGGTTCATAGGCTGGTTTGCCGATTTTATTTGGGCACTGCTCTGTTGAACAGTGTCCAAGTCCCTTTTTAATCCTGTTTCTTTTCTCTCCTACAGCATCTCCTGAAACATCCCTTCCATCTCCTTCTACAAGCACAGGCAGTGAAGACTATAAACTAGGCTCTAGCGCAGGACCCAACACCGTAGCGCAGCTCTTGCCTCAGCCAGCCATACCTAAGCAGGAGATCTTATAGGGAGAGGTGGAAGGAGAAGCTGGGAGCAATGTGGAAACGGTGCTGAAAGTGAAACGGGCCCTTTCTCTTTGCAGAGGCAAAGCGCAGCAACCCCGCGCCTGTAGCCGGATCTGTCGGTCACGCTCTTTGCCGTCCGTGAGTCGAGCACCAGGTACCAGCCTGCAGCAGGAGCCTCCCCGTGGTTCTGCCCACCGCCCACCGCCGTCACCCTCAATTCACAAGCGAATCGGGGATCACGCTCTCCTCAGCAGGACCGAGACTGTAAGCTCTTTGGAGCAGGGCTTCTGCTTGCATTTGTTATCATCTCGCTCAGCGTGCTCAGACCCCTCCAACGCCTTTGGCTGCTACCTGCATAAACCCAAACGCCTTACACAGCTCCTGGTAATTGTCAGTGAGTACAGCGTGTCTGGAATTGTCAGTATGAAAAGGGCCATTCCCATTAAAAATTTAATTACACTCCTATTTCTCCTGCTGCATGTTAAGCTTTGGGAAGAACATCTTCATAGCCTTCACCGGCCAACACTTTCTTATTCCACACAGAGGTGTCCTATTCCATATAGACCAGCTAACATTTAATGCCAGTCAGCTACTATATGTGATCAAGAATGTGAATGTTTGGTTGTCTTCCATAATTTCCAGTGTATCTAGAGCGCAGCTGTGAGTTATTTGGGCAGATTTCTCGTGCGGACACGTAACAGACCTCTGAGATAGCAGCAAGGAGCTCTGCATCAGACCGTGGCTGCTGGGTCTGGTAAAACCCACACCTGGAAGGAAGCGCAAGCAGCTTCTTTCTATCTTCTGCAGACTTTTACTGCAAACATATTTGGAAGAAGCAACAAAAAACCCCCCTTTTCCCAGCACAGCTATGATTTTGCTGTAGTTTTATGTATTTTCGTAATGTCTGCAACCTAAACTTCAAAGCTCTAAATTAGCAAAAAGAGGGAGAGGCAGGTCTCCTGTGAGGTGTGGATTTTAAAAAGTTTGTATTTAAAACATAAGGGTTTTCTGCACTAAATGTAAAACTTAATCAGCAGTAGGTGACCAACTATTAATTAACCACGTTACAACTACTTAAAATGATCCCAGCAGAGGACTATACAACCTCAAACCTTCCTAAAGCGCGGCCACTGTGGTACGGTGTTTATTTTGCATAAATTGAACCTCCTCAGAAAGGAGGCTGCTGGACTTCTACAAAACACACGTTCACCTGCACGGAAGTCCAACCACCTCCATCAGAGAGCTCTTGAGCGGTTATGGGCGGCCGTACTGAACAGCAGGAGATGATGGAGAAGATCGCACAAATCTGTCAACCCTCGCACGTCCCCCCTTCGTGGCAAAGATGAGATGACGGTGCCCAGGCACGGCTTTGCGTTATTTCACTAACGCTCGTGGAGCACTTTTCGGAGGACACAGTGGAAATGCAGGCCCATGGCTCGAGAGAGAAGTTGGGAGGAGCATCTGGCCCTTCATCAGAGGGAACACTCTGTGCTCGGGCTCCCTTTCGTTCGTGGGGGAGATATTTTAGAGTTGCTGTTCTACAGCACAAGAGAGATTTGAAAACCATGGAGGACGGGGTTGAATTTCACCTAGGAGCGCAGTGTTTTATTTTTCTACTGTCTATGATGAATTTGATCTGACATTGTATACTGATAACTTTGATTCGAAACAGCCATCTCTGGAAACCAGGTTCCACTGCAAACAGATGCAACTGTACTCACCGAACATTGCTCCCAGTTCCTCCCTCCATCGTGTAGATTAAACGTACATTTATACTCATTAATGGTAAGAAAATAAATCTATGGGGAAAATAAATGCCTTACTCTCATACTTCATAGGGACAGTTTGCCTTTTTTCTTTAATTCAAACCCAAGTTTTCAAGTTTCTCTATTGACTTCTCCAATACAAATATCTTGGGGATTTTCACTTTCGGGATTTATTCTCGATAAAAAAGAATCACCTATGGCTGCAAAGCACAGCTTTCGCTTGAGCTTGTTAATTACAACAATCTAGGATATTATCTGATAGAAGAAAATAAAATTACGGGAACAAGCAGATACCGGCCTCAGCCGCCAGTGTTGAGCTAGCCTGGTGAAGGTTTACAGCAAGAATAATTTACTGTCTTACAAGGGGCCTGTATGAAGGGCCAGAATAAATTCATAGCAAAAATCTCTTTCTGGCTTCCCTCTGTCAAACCCCAGTCTAAATTAAGCCAACATTCTTATGCAGCCATACCTTGGAAGTGACTGTTTTATCAAATTTTTGCTTTATTGGAATGATGATTTTGTTAACAAAAGAGGTTCGAAGCCATCATTTAAAAATATTTTGGCTGTCTGGCAAGATGCCAGCTGCTTTGTCAGAACAACGTGAATCGTGCATCTCGGGTAATAGTCGTACCTATTTCTCTGTAAGTTACCATTTCTTTCACAGTTATAGCAGTTAGGTTTGTTAACATTGAATCTAGGTCTTATTTGAACTTTATCCTGCACTAGAGTATTAAGAGAAATTGCAGAAATATTTTAGAGGTACAGAGTTCCACTTATGTTATTGAGAAACTTAAGACTGTGATTGCTTTGATGCATGCTGGCTATTTTCCAGAGCTCTATTTGGGTATGACAAGGGTAATTTGCATTACAAATTTGCATTACAACAGTATATGCACTACTGCAATCATCAGGAAATACTGAAAAAACTGAATGACAGTATTGCCTCCATGAAGAAATTCAGAACACAGTGACACAAGCAAAAAAAAAATTAATAATCTCAATCAAGAAGCACCGATCCCCATTCAGCCACAAGGTACACTGCATGAATTCAACTGTTACTCTGTTCAGAGGATTAACACTTTAAAAATATACAGAATTGTAACGCTGGCGCATTTCATTTTAGTGTTACAAACAGATTCAAGAATCATTTTACAGTCCAATTCCTGTATTTCAAAACCTCTTGTGCCACCTTCTTTCTCCAACAGCATTGAATACATTCACATATTAACACCGTGCCAACAGAAAGAAGTGAGAACATTCATAGAAACACAACATTTCCACACAGGATAGGCATAAAGAAGTCCATAAATGAATTCTCACTTGCAACTGCTCAACCCTTTCTGAAGTCTAAGACTTCAGAAATGGTTGATGAAACAACCTGACATTACTACTAGAAATTAAACAATAAAAAGGACAGAAATTAGCAGGATCCATCTGCAGAGACATCTGTTCCATTTGGAGAGTAAACAAGCTCTTCCCTAACATACATGTAAATACAGCACAGCCTCACTGTTGTGGCATACAAATACAACGAAATCATTAACCTGCTTAAAAAACCCAAGAAACCATGGCACGAAGTTTACATGAATGTATTTGGAGCTATTTTCTCCATACCTAGGAACAGCAGTGTACAAAAGTGTGATATTATAACCAGGAATGGTACCACAGTATTTTTCAGAATTGTTGCAAATGGAAATAAACTGCTGCCAGCCTCTCCACCCTTCCCTGCCTTTGTAAACCTCGCTTCCTCCTGTCCCTCACTCTTGCTGGGTCAGTTGTTCTGTTCACAACTACCTGAACTGCTGCTTTCTAGGCTGCAAAATTGACCGTCTTTGTATCTGAAGCTACAGAACTAGTGGAAAAAGTCAACATTTGGGCAGAGAAACTAGGGAGTCCAACCCTGTGCGTTACACAAATACCTTGAAGGTGCAAAGCCCGCGATACCCTGTGAAGAGTTTCCAAATAGGAAGTATTCACTGTGTGTTTTCCCACTCACCTGAGACAAAGATAAGCAGCTACATCAGAGGATGCAGAAAAGGAAATGCTTAAGAACAGCTGAGCACTTAAGCATAGCTTAAAACCATTAGTAAGCAGAGTAGCATCCTTAATTTGGAGCAGTATCATCCGTTACTTGATATACATGTACATAGAAATTACAAGCCATTACCCTGAAGCTGCTGTAACCTAAATATATGTGAATACACACATATATGTGCAAAAAAGTGACATGTGGAGCAGAAGTTAATCAACTAGGACTTCAATTCATTACTTTATTCTTTTTACATTAAAAAAATTACAATGTAACAAGGGTTTGAAAAGCCAAGTAAACCTGATTTCACACACGCACACACTTGCTAAGTCACAAGGTTCAACTGCTTGACGTGGTATTTTCTGAGTTCCATCAGGATATTTTATTAAACAATATACACATTAAGAGCCTCATGACAAAGCCAGACACATTTTCCCCCAATCTTTAAGCTGTGTAACTGAATATGCAAAGATTCTTGTGGAACTTCCAACTTTCCCCTCAGTTACACAAGGCGTAGTGCTGTTCGTAGTTTTGACTGCGATTGCATTGCATGTGTCTACCTAGAAATTGTCCAGTGTTACACATCATCTCCCCCAAGGAAAGTGAACATAATAAAGAGTATTGCACAGTTTTGTTCGCAGGGCCATAGATAATAAATGGATTCCTTAGTAATTTCACTCACCCAATGGTATAAAACCCAGTGAAGCTGGACCGAAGATGCCACAAACACAAAGAAATGGAGAAGCAGGTCACTGAAAAAAGAAAATATAGCTTCTGCAGTACGTAAACTTTAACGCAAGATTCTTCAGCACATTGAACTGCTTGGGGTGGGACAGATCATCAGTGCTACTGGCAAAGCAAAAGCAAGAACAGGACAATTTTAAGGCAAGTCCCAGAACAGGGAGCTATTTACTTTCTAGGCACAATTTCAAGCTATGCATCAAGGCTCCTGCTTTAGCCTTTATATTGTCAGTGATTTATAGAACAGATTAACAATAATACAAAAAATAGTCTCAATGTCATTTTTAAAGAATCCATTTTTAGCTGAATTTCATTACGTGCAGCTTGGATTTCATTACTTGTAGATTTATAAACATTTCTTAGCACTACTACTGTTTGTCAGGCCCACATAAAGCAGTTCTAGATCTATATTGCTCTCATTTCTTTAAAGTAGTTTTGGCTGGAAAACTGTTAAATTCAAAATAATTCATTCTATTGCAGATCTTTCTACATTTCAGATCTGTTGTACACGAAAAAGAGGCAACCTCCCTCATTCCTCTGATGTATTTGTTCAAGAGATCATTAAGTTAACAACTTTCCTTCTATGAGAAGTCTGTACAATAAAAAAAGGGGCAGAGCAAGATCTTACAAAGACAACTGTTTTCAGTTAATTAACTCCAGTCTGCAGTACATTCATTTTCATCTCACACAGGAGGATACAGTCACTGGTCCCTCCTTCCCTGCACAGAGGACGAGACACAATCCTCCAACACCTACACTTAAGTTCCTCTAGAATCAACGCATTAAGAATTGGAGATGCGTATCTGGGGGCAGAATATGACCCACAGCTGTTAGTTAAAAGTGTTGTTTACCAAAGATTGAGAACTTACCTAAATGCCATATGAGATTAATACTGCCAAACACAAGGCATGCTTTTGTGAGCCTGGGAAGACATTTGGCAGGGGTGTAACAGTGCCTCTGATGTGTTATGCTGTTGTGTGCACCAGTCCTTTGAAACACTTGCATATGAGGAATGTGTGCCTGAAGTGGGACACAAGAGTACAGCTCTGTTTATTAGGACAAGCTGAAATATAAATTAAAAGTGAACAAACCACTATTCCCTGAAAATTGGATTTAGAAGGCTAGGTCTCATTTGAGATCAACTTTCACCGTAACACTCCTCCTGATGATTGACAATGGCACCTAAGTATATACTTTTTATAAAAACACACAGGTAATTCCCCAAACATTTATCAAATAAAAAGGGTTTAACAAAAATGGATAATTAATCTCATAAAATAAATTACAGTAGCGTGACAACATTTGGCTTCCTTAGTGTGACCACGTGCTTTTCCTTTGTTATCTTGCTGTTAAGACCATTACAGATCCAGTTCGTGTCTCTGAAAGTTAATGAGATGTCTGTGACGATAAACGTATAAAACTCTGCTTGCTACAAGCAAATGTCTGATATTGGTTTCACCTGGTCACAGATTATATGTAGACAGCCTTCTCTGGCCCCAAATAAATATTACATAGTATTTTTGCAAGTTCCAGCATAATTAGACTCAAACAGAAAACTCAGGTCCTCCTTTCTTTGCTCTCAGTAGAAGTCGCCTGATTCGAAATCCTGCAAAAGGATTGATCCACAGGAGCGACGGCTGACCCCCAAAAACAGATTTCATTCCTTCCCAACGTAGTCTCCGCTCCCATGTTGGCTTTTCACTCTTCAGTCTTTCAATCTCCTGTGTATAAACAGCCATGCAGTGACACACTGTTAAGTCTGAAGTTTAGTCAAGTCTAATAGCAGTTACCAAAACTGATGACTATTTTGCACTCTTTTAATGTCCTGCTAGTGAGCCCATTAGCTTCTTATTGTTATTTATTCAGTAAGGAAGAAATAAGGATGGCCAATTTATCCCTGTGGGTACAGGGCAGAAGACTTAGAACATCCAATGCGTACCAGAAGGTTGGTCTACGTCTACCTCTCCCCCCATCCTGCCCCAAACTAAAAGACAAAATGACCAGAAAAGCTGATGTGAAAGTAGAGGATCTGCACACAATGTACCTACACTAGAAGCTGTTTACTCAGTTAATGAAACGAGACAATAAGGCTTCCAAGACAGCTCTGGCACTGTGATTACTGAAGCCAGGCTTACTCTCCCAAATGCATTATTTTGATGATCATTTTTTGTACTTGCCACTAATGAAGGCTGGACATTTACCAATTGTTTTTCACAGTTACTTTTCAGTACAGTACACTTTTAAACAGCCCCACAAGAGAAAATTCTGAACAGCCACAGGATTCAAGTTCCTTATGTTTCCAGTCAATTATCCATCACAAAACATCCTCTCAAGGATTAACGCTGCAGATCTAAGGGCAAGGGAGCCAAATGTCCAAACTGCGTTATACTCTAAGTATGTCAAAGTAGAGGAAAGTGTGAAGGATTGATACAAGATAGCTAGTCTAAGTGTAAACCTGAGAAAAGCAGTCATGTCTCCTGAATGTACGTATCATAACGTATCAGGAATGTGTGACAGTTGAGAAGTGCAAGTCCAAGCTGAAGTCAGAAGCTGTCCAATCTTTGTAACTGAAAGCCTAATTATAAAATTTATGTCAGAAAAGCAAATAATGCAAGAACTTAGAAAGCAATCCCCAAGAAAGTATTTCATATTCATTCCTCTAACTGTAGAAAATAAAAATGATGAGCTATTTCAGATTTGGGGTTTCCTCCAAAATAAGAGCCTCCCCTCATGCAAATAAAGCAACTTCTAATCACATCTTCCTAGAATAATTATTACAGCACACAAAAGTAGAGGTCTTTACCGTTTCATCATTGCATATTGAGTGGATTTGGGTGCCAAACATGACTGCAGTGAACGTGAGAAACAGAAAACCCTCAAGGCACAAGAAGATCATCAGGATCACAGTTACAGGTGGGGAGAAGTCACTGCATTCTGTGAAAATGACAAATGTAATTATAAAAAATTGGAATTATAAAAAAATGAAATTAAAAACTCCATAGAGCATGTTCATACTGAGACATCCCTTCGTCAACAAACAGCAATAAAAGCTAAATATCTGACACTTGAAACAACATTTCACAATTGTAACAAACTTTTAATTTCTAGCACTGCAGCAGCTTTGTTTGCTGCCCAAGGAAATAAAGAATTTTAAGGAAGTAACACTGTTGGCTTCCTATAAAGCACATAGTACTGCATGACTGCAATCCTGCCTCAGTATTTCAAAGATATCAAACAAATGTTTGCATGAAATGATTTCAGGACTCGGAACTGCACATATGTAAAGATGACAGCAGCTTGAAGTTTCAAACATGACAAATGCTGTAAGAACCGTCACCACTGTCAGCTCTGACTTGCGAGTTAATCCAGATGTTCCATTTTGCTGTGATTGCTTTTTTTTTTTTGTTAATTCACTACACAAAGTAATCAGGTTCTGACTTACACTTACAATCACATCTCTGGAGACCCTCTGATCAACTGATTAACTCAATTATAGTTAAACAAAGAAGAAATGGAATAGTATACAGGAAGCAGAATGCTTCAAGTCAAAAAAGGACTAAGATTCCATCCATTTAACAGAATATTCAGCAAAAAACCAGTCACATGGATTTTCTGTTGCTTCAGGTACCAGGAAGAACATACGATCAAACCATCTTCTGTCAAAAGCACAAGATCAGAATGAGCTCTGGACACTGGAACATTAAGAAATGTGAGTCAGAGCCCCCAAAAACCAACTGGGACAGTTTAGGAAATTTCTTTTCTACAGGAGCCCCACAGTTGGCTCCAGTAACAGAGTGAGGGAGAAATTTGTTTAAGTTTCAGCTGTAGTTCAGAGAAATGTGGTGGGACACACGAAGCCCAGTGGGCAGCTTCAGGTAACACAGTGCTGAGGTTATTCTAGATACCAGCTATCTCTTTCCTTCCATTACAGAAGCGATGCATGTTTACCACGTGGAAAGGGAGCAATAATGCCTTTGACAGCCACAGCTCTTACAGTAAATGACTAAAGGAAGCGGGAGGGAAAGGGGGGCGGGGGGGAAGAGAGAGATGGCTAAACAGGTATGAAATATTTTCAGGACTTCACTTTAAAAAGACCAAAGTCCTGTAATATTTCATACATGGGACTGAAATGAGTGGAATGCTATGACTTTCCCTTAATATCTACTAGATTAGGAAAATTAAATATTTGCTTACCAGTCCACTGCCCTCGGACACAGGAGAAAAACTGAAACCCACACAGTATGAGCGCATGAGCTGAAATTAGGGCTATATACATCTGGAAATAAGAGAGAGTGATTACTTTTGACTGCTTCCAGGTAGTATACCAGATGATCCTTTCAGCCAGCCTCCACCACTGCTCAGTGAATACACTTTCCTATTTCAATTTTGAATTCAATACGATAATGTGAAAACAAATTCTAATTAAATTTTAATCTAAAAGTGTAGGCAACAATGAATGTTTAAGGATAAGCTTCCTAAATCACAGTACCATTTCACTAATTGTTACTACATAAAACACAGAAAAATTAAGACTGTTTAAAATGACAGCACTTTACAAGATTAAAATGAGTATGAGTAGAAATATCTTCCTGCTTGGAGACTATCTTGCATAGAAGGGAAAAAACACACCACCACCAAACAACTGTGTCCTCAAGCTATTACTCGCTACGAAGCACGCCCAAAATTGTTATAATCAAGGTAGATTCATACTGAGATCAAGCTGCTCTTGATTTTCGCTTACCGTAAATAGAACAAAAAATCTCTGATTTTTCTCCCCCACGCAATTATTCACCCACGGACAGTGATGATCCATCTTTCGAATACATCGTTTGCAAATACTAAAGGAAAGGAAGACAGGCTTTTGTTAAGAAACAACACTTTGCATTTTAATGTAGAAACAAGGGTATCCAGTGGTCATAAGATCATGTGCAGAAATCTACCTTCTTGAAAAACTGCAAACAGTGGTTTTACTAACATTTTATTTGCTCACTTAAAACTCAGCTTCTGCTTGTCATAAAACTGTGTAGATAAGATACTCTTCATATAAGAAAACCGGTGTTAATATGAGAATCATTGCATATCCAAACACATAATCAAGCGAAGCCAATAACTTGACTTAGACACTTGTGGCACTGCATGAGCAAAGCTTGAGTTCTTTCTGCATTCAGTATTAAAAAAACCCTTCCTTTCTGGAGGAGCTTTTTTAGATAGTTATTTCAAGTTTACATACTTTCAAGTTGTACATTTACTTTGAGAATCAGGAAAAAAAAAAATTTACATCTTCAAGACAGAAATTGCCTCTTGATGTTTATTATAAACACTCGATGTTTCAACTGGCCATACAACTCTAAATATATGCAATCAAAATCTCAACTAAAGAACAGATTATAATGTCACACCTCACTTCTTCAACATAAAACAAAAATATTGAAACTATAAGCAGCAAACATTCTTTGCCTACTTGCTAATAAATACTTAACCACTACTGTTCTCTGCTAGTAAGTGCTTAGTTTCTGCCCAGTTCTGAGTCAAGGTTATTTCCAGAAAGAAAAGTCAAATATTTCAGTAAGTCTGTTTTACATCTGCTAGGCCATACAGTACCACAGGACTCATTTCTCTTATATTCAGGTCCATCTGCAGCCAGACATGAACATTTATACAAGAGAAACAGAACAGCTGCAACATGTGTTGAAGTTCTTCCATAAATCAATATCTTAAGTAATGCTGGTATTTCGTTTTCCTAGATTTGTACTTAAGATAGCCACACAAAGTGTTTCAGATTTTCCTGCAGAACATCCAAAATATTAAGCATTTTCATTTCAGCAACTACAAAGCCAAATAAGCCTAAAAAATGCAGGCACTGTTATTCAAAATCCTTTGTTTTTAATGCATGCTTATTTATGTATGGTATCTATGAGTGCTGCAGTGACAAGCCACAAAGCAAAGCTAGATGACTGTCACTAGAGTGAAGAAAAGGGTGTGCATGTGCGGGAAATCAATGCTCTGAGGCATAAAATGATTTTTAAGTCATCGCATATGCTTGATTATAAGGTAATTCAGCAAGAGGCAGAACGTACTCCTGTGCAGGTTATATAAGAGAATCCCAAATCTCTCACTGCTCCTCTGAAGCTCCCTTTGCCCTGAGCTATCATAACCCAGCCCTTATGTTCCCCACTGCCTCTTGGTTTATGGACATTAAAGATGATTCATCTTCTGATGCAAATTACTTTTTAAATACTGCCAGTTACACATGAAAATCCCAATACCATAACTAAACACCGCAACCATTCTCTAGTGCAGAAGAAACAGGTGGCATTCAAGAGAAGGCATTCAGAAGGCTCTCCAAAAAATTTTCATCTCACAGCCTGCTGCCTTTAAGTTCAGCCTCTCATTAATTTCCTGAGCTCTGTGGGAAGGTGAGCCATCTCCAGTCACTACACTGGTGCAAGCCTTCTAAGGTAACACAGAAAATACACTGTCACTCTAAAAATAATGTTGATGTGACGTACTGAGTAAAATCATATCCAGACTCAATCAAGCCAAACACTGGAGGATGTGAGGTGGGCAGGACACACTTTTGCTCATTCAGTATTTCTCACAAGCCCACACAGAGCTCTCCAAGACATCAGATGTCTGGAACACTGCCTTCATTTCTAATCTCACACCACGATTCAATGAACTCGCAGAAAAGCTGAAAACAGTGGTTCTGCCTTCTTCCTACACCCGTCACTTGTATTCTATTCCTTCCTTTGTCCAAGCACAGATGTTCACGCGGCAAGAGCTTGGGGAAGTCACTCCATTAGCTGCAACCTGGGTCACTTCACTGTTCAGGAACGCTCACGCCTTACACAAGAGGAAGGTGAAATATGGTAGTGAAAACAAGCAGCTGTGGACAAAGGAAGGTCTTCTCCAGGTTGGTACTGCTGCTGAATGCACTCAGGCAACTGCAGGTGCAACGACAGTTTTGAATGCCAAAAATAACATTCAGAAAGACACAGCTAGTGGCTTAAGAGAAATTGGTCGGGATAACAGAAATTCACAGGAAGACTGATGCAAACATCGCAGTGACTTGATTCTGAGTAAGAGTTCCCCACACAGAAACAGGAGCTCAGAATAGGCTAGAAATAATGACAGCTGTGCTCCTTCAGTGAAAATGAATTAGCATTCACTTAGGATAAGCCTCTTCCTTATGCTGAAAATGTTAACTGCTTAGTAAAATCTCGGTTCAATGTATTTCACTGATGGTAGATATTTAGCTGTAAATAAAGGGTTTTTGTTCTTTTCCCCATCACTAGTGTGTATTATGAAACCATTTTTCTTCCTCAAAAGAACTTCTGCTGCAGTGTTGCACAACAATTTTCAGAACTACATCATAAAAGCCTCTTCTGTTAATAATTTACTACTCAAAACATGCACTGTGGCTTCGAGCGCAACTATTTCCCAACTGGAACCAACTTCAATTTCCATTTTCAAGTCTCTTCTATCAGCAAATTGCCACTTTGACTACTTGGGACTAGACCATGCTTTTAATATCCTTGGAATGGGTTTGTAAGCCAATAAAACATTGGCAGTATAATCAAACAAACCTTTCTTCTATTCAGTATACTTCTGCAGTGCTACATCTATGGCAAAGAATCAGATTCTGGTAGCTGGTTTCCAGCCCATTTACCTTTCTATGCAGTATGTATTCAACATTCAAGAAATTACAAAAAATCCTTTGTTTTACTTAAGAAAAATTAACAGCAACTATTAGTAGCATGTATTGTATGAGTAACAGAAACAAAGACAATTAAACCACATATCCAACTGCTGAGAAAAACATGACAGCAGGCTTACTAAAGGATAGCACATACGCTTTCAGGCTCTGGCGTTCTCTTTCAGATGTTCTGTGAAGCCAGTTATGCACTGTGCAAGCATTAAAATGCATCCTTTGCCCTTATGTGGAACATTTCACAGTGTATTTTACCAAGGAAAGTAAAACAATTCACCAGATGTGCAAAGCTAGGTGTCTGAGCCAGTGGTTAGTGAAAACAAACCCTCTGAAAGTATCACAGATTTCCTTTGCTGTAGACACTACCTGTTCTTGCTCTGCTTTAACAATAATTGCCACTCAAATTCTTGCTATAAACAATGTGTTCAAAGTCCCTACTTAGCTTATTTTTATTCTTCTTCCACAAAGAAATAATTTATCAGTCACCACCACCTTATGTGGGATCACAGGCTACTAGAACATCCAAGATGACACAGTGCCTGCTGAGGATGATGGCCAAGATACACCCAGCTCTGTACTCTGCAGCGACTCTAGGCTCTCCAACACTCCAGCTTCATTACTCACATGCAGAGTTCAATGTAAGATGCCTTCATTTAGGGTTACTTCCAAATTCGTAAGATCTGTCAGGACCAAACACTTTGCAAAGATACCTGCAAAGTCTCTGTAGGAGCCAGCCTAAATCTCAGATGAGAAAATTAGCAAGACCCAACCTATGCTCAGCAGAGCCTCTCGGGTGTCCCTTTGCCACATCCCACGAGCACAACGCCAGGACATCTGAACAGACCGCACAAAGCTGGTTTGGATCCCCAGAGATTAACAGCTTATATTCTGCCGCAAGAAAGCAGCTGCGGTGCTTCCACCCCCAGGCCCGCCGAGCAATCGGTACAGCTGCGTTCACATAACACTCCACCAGAGCTAATAAAGCCAGCCAGAACCAAAGGCATTGCACACGAAGGCAAGCGGGGTATCTGCATCCATGCAAGAGTTAACCTACAACACAGATAAACTGACTGAAGACAAATCTATACTTGACTGTTTAGACATGAAACTTTTCCCTTCACACTCCAGATACAAAATCCCACTCACATCTGAGAGAAGAACACGATTTCAGTGCCAAGGCAGAGTATTTATAATGGCAATAGCTTCTCAGCCATAACTTTCACACAGATAAGCGACATACACCGCGACATTTAATTTAGAAACCTCAAATGTACAGAATCATTTCAGAGTCCTGACAAGACTTCACTCTGTTCTTTTGACGGACACTAACGCAGAGACTTAAATTTAATACGCCACACAATTCGATACACATCACTCCTCACACCCAGCGAGAGCCACCAGAAACATTTACATATTTATGCAAGTCTTAATTATGCAGGCATATCTACTTTCACCTCTCACACAATAAGCATTACAAATGCATATCCACAGGGCCTGAAAACTCAAAAGATTGAGAATTAATTAAAACTGGATACATTTACTGTCTTTTCCATAGCATGTTAAATTCAAATTATCATCACTTCTGTCCTTATTAAAATGAATCTTCAATAAGCAGAAGTGCTTTTAACCAATTTTGCATACAACTTTGGGAAAATAATCTGCCAATTCACATATAACTTCAAATGATAGACTATGAAGACAAGGCGACACAAATTAAAGTGATAAAGTTTAAAACTAATCTGTATTTTCTTAATTTAAGATTACAGGAGTCATTTCTTAAATCAGCTTACACCACTAATTTCCTTGAGATTCTTCCCTTTGACCTGCATTATCAATAGTACAGCACAATAATTAGGATGATGCACAGGAAAAAATACTCACAGATCACAACGTATTTAAGATACCCCAGTATGACTGTTTTTTAAAAATTCTTGAGTCTCTTGCTTCTCCCCCTCGTCCACATTCATTTTTGACGATAGTATATTATGGTTATTATATACTATACTTTGCAATTATGTTTATTATATACTATACGAGTGAATGCTCGCTGGACATCAAAAGACATTTGTGGGAAAAAAATAACACATAAATACCAGGAACATTATTCCAAGACTCAATATGCTTAACTGCTTTAAAGAAAACTATGGCATACCTGCAATGGTGTGCACGTTCAGGTTTGATACTACAGCACTTTGGACATTTGTAGATCACTTCTCCTGGTTTCAGTTGCAAATTATCCATGTATTCTTTAGTGGCATTTCCTTTGGGTACAGCCCCCTGAAATCATGTCAATTAAAGGAGAGAAAGCTTCTTAGATGCTATGAGAGTGTTTAAAAATACATTTTATAGACTTCATACCAGTAATCTCAGGATAACCGCTGAAATAAGTTAATTTACTCAAAACTAGTCCATCATAAGCCAGAATAATTTCCAAATGAATAAAATACTTCTGTTTGACCTCAAATTCAGTTTCAATTCAGCAAGACTCATCTATGGCCAAGTATTAGCATAATTCTGATAGAATCTGCTGTCACCAGCATATATAAAATGAAGATACATCTTTACATGCAGATACAAGCACTACAGGTACAATATTTGCTGAGAAGTTACTCTGAGCAAGCACTACTGAGAGAGACATGCTTTCTTACAGCGGCGTATGTTAATTGTTTTGATGTTCAATTATTAGGCCAAGCCATCCACAAAAGCTACTACTACCCATCAGCAGCAACTACTTTAAAGGTGTTATTTCAACTCTCTGAACCCAAGATTTAGCCACCCACCCCATATATGCAAGTTTTTGAGAACAGTCATCCTTATACTTAAGCTTTTAGCTTGGACACTGTCAGCATAAACCACCATCGGCTTCTTTATTCTACATCTACTATCTCCTGCTGCCTTCTGCTACTGTGAAAGTTTGTGTAGCTACATGGTAAACAGTTGAAGGAACTGATGCAGAAGAAAAAGCACCCATCAGAAAAAGAAATTATTTTTTAGTGATTAGTTCTCTGAGCTGTTCACCAGAGCTGCGTTAGCAGCTGTTTCAACACAGTGAGAAGGATAATGAACAGACAGGAATAGTAGTCAGGATTGCTTCTTAACAAAATTAATCTAGAGCCTCGTGAGATTGGAATCTAACTTTGGATTAGTAATAAGAAAATAATGGGAAGTACCACTGTCACCTTGCTTATTTATAGACCTAAAGGCTTATCTATGACAAGTGACTGTGAAATAAGCAGGGATGTCAAATGAAAGTGCAATGGCCTTCCTGTACCAAGTCCTCCAAGCCAGTGCTTACTTCACACAGGGACAGCCTTCTCCAGGTTGGCTTAAACTATCTGCAACATTCTATAATTACTTCTCATTCAGAAAAAGCCCATTGGCAACACCATCACTTTACATAGACATCTTAAGGAAGTTTTTGGGACAGAATTAAGAAACCAGCAGGCACTTCAGATTCAATTGCAAAACACCTCTCTACTTAGGCAGAAATTTTTTGCTGCCTATTGCCTGGAAAAACAATCTTGTGTTTGTATTGCCTGAGACACAGCCCCAGATGAACTCTTTGGCTAAGTGGTGTTTCAAACTTGAGCCAGCTGGCCTTTGCAGGGATACAAACTGAAAGAGTTTCTTAAATGCTCATGTTGTATTGCTGAAGTGTTTTTTGCAATATGAATGTTCTCATTGAAGTTAATACTTCGGTGTAAGCATGATGAATTAGCTCAGAGAGAAGTCCTAAAGCACAAATTTATCTTGTTGCAGGTAAATTTATGCCTACAAAACACATCTCACATTCACCTATTCACCTGTCACTAAGGATGATAACTTCAGGCCATGCTTTTAGCATTTTGCTGATAAAAATATGCTCTGTTTCAAAAACATCTTTCATAGCTTAGACAGTCCAGCTCCTTTCAATGAAAAATCTATTTTTGTAGTTATAAGACTAGATTTAATTCACATATGTTTTGAGGCACTTTATTCCTTTTTTCCTTCAATCTTAGTTTCTATCACATGGTCGTGTCTTCCTTTCTGGGAGTCAGCAGTGAAAAAGTGGAGGAAAAAAGGTAGTGATTCATCTAAATTTCTGTCATGTTTTACCCATAAAGAATTACAGAGGTCTAGAAAGAAACAGAGTTTTACCAGGACATATTTTTAAGCAATCTATCCTTAAACCATTAGCTTTCTTAGCTGTCACAGTCTGTAGAAGCCATAACACTTCATCACTGGGTGTGGGCTCAGTAGTAAATCAAAGGCCTAGAAAACCATTAACTACAACACCCTGCTGTTTTTGAACGCTCCCATAACTTCTACATACACTGTCACTGTCTCAAAAATCTGGAGAAAATAGATGTTTTTCCCCTTACTCCTCTCTCCTGAGATTTACTGCCCAAAAAGAGTAATACATTGTAGTACAAAATAAAGAATTACATCTTTTGAACTCTTGAATTGAAGAGTAAGAGTCCTAAGAAATGAGTACTTTCAAGACTTCTTACACCTACACTGTTCCAACGTGGGTTCAACTTAAATCTCCCTTCATACTGACTCCAAATACCTAAACACAGTAATAATGCATGAATCATATACGAGAGTAGTTCTTACTTTATGTCAATATGTGACTGAGGTTTTTCAGTATGTCTACCTCTAAAAGTTCTTTCATGTGCCATAATGGACGATACATTTCAAATGATACAAGAGGATGAAGCTACAACTTCTTACGAAGTTTTGAAAATATATCTGATGTAAAAAAGGAAGAAAAATTAGGACAGAAAAGACTAAAGCCTTATTAGCTTCTTCAGAACCTGAGTTAGTATTTTACAAATAAACAGTATTTCTCAGGAGCTTACCTCTCCCTTATAAATTAATTTTATACTGCCTGCTCCTCAAGTCAAAAATTATTTATGGTTTCATTAACAGAACAACAGGAAAAGTACAGATATCATCCCTCCAGCCTATGGGTTTTGAATCTAACACTACTTTTCCTAGCAGGAGAAGACCAATGCCACTTCTCCCAATTTCTCTGCAGATGATGAGCTACATGAGAGAACAATCCAACGTCAAGGAACGATCGCATACTTACTGGATCAGTTAGCATAGTTCTCAGATGCGATGACAAAGCTAGTACTGCCAAGCAGTTAAAGAGAACACCGTTGATCACAGAGTACCAAAAGTCTTTGGAAGGCAGCAACATGACAAAAGTCACTACGAAGTCTGCATAGACAACCAGAAGCCATGTCATTATAGCACAGACCATACCACAGCCATCTCGGATGAACCAAACCCTCTCTGCCATGTCGGCCTCTGAGGAAGAGGAATCATAACTGTCATTTTCAGCAAGCAGTGGGTGGTGCTCAACATCACGAAATCTGTGCCCTGATGACTGCATGGTTTTCTGGCCTTGCCCTGCAGGAAGCAAAGATACCGTTATTATGCATGAGGAAGTTGGAAATACAGGTGGCTCTCATTTTTTATTTCTGTAAGATAAAACATATCCAAGTTCAAAACAGATTACTGAGGAAAAACCAGAATGGAAATAAAGCTGTTCTAGTACATTGTTCTCAACAAAAAACAGAGCAAGTTAGAAAGCAGCCAAATTTCTTGACAAAAGTGCTATTGTGTTGAAAAAAATCAAACCTGTTATAAAGATATATTGGATAACTTACAAAATGGTCTCAGATCAGACCGAACTTAAGGGAAACAACTGGTAGTGGTTAAATTAGCATGGCAATGGATTACACGAACCAGACTTTCAAAGAACACATTAATTAATTCAATTTAATGAAAACTCTTTTAGGGCTTTGTTGTTGTTCCAATGTGGAACCAAAACAAGACTTGAAACCTTAATAGTTTTCATAAAAACAGAATTATTTTCCAGACATCTCTAACAAGCAAAGATATGGAATGGCAGAACTGAAGTGCTATCAACAAACAGGAGACAAATTAAAGCTTAAACATTATGCATGAAGAATAGCTTGCCATTTTAAAAGTATACTGTGTCCTAAAAGTCATATTGATTCATGCTATAAAAGGCCACGTCTGAGAAACTTGAAAGCATTACATTGATTGATGACAGGCTTGCAGAAGTCTCTGTTTCCCCCCCTTATTAATGGTAGCCTATATATGGCTGGTAGGAATTACTGCACTTCAGTTTACATCCCAAGACCTTGAATATAGGATCACTTTGTTAGTCTACAATGGTCAAAGTGACCATTACCAGGTAGAGACTCATATTTGAGCTAGTTTTCAGATTAAGCATTTTTAAATTGATATGTTTTTAAACCCTTAAAAAAACCTCTCAGTCCTATCTACCAGTAATCAATTCAGAAAAACACATTCTGCCCAGTAAATCTGTCTGATCTGTAAGTCTTAATGCCAGAACTGGGAAGGAATAATCCAAGAGATTAGAAATGAAAGCAGACTGCAGTGTAGAGATCCCAGAGCGACAGTTAAAATAGCTAGCTGAGACAGTCACAGGAGACAGTTTAAGTGTGAGTGACATTCTCTGGTTGTGAAACAAAACAAACTGCAATACAGCTCTGGTGCTTGGATCTAGTTGCTAACAACACGCAATTTCTTGTAGTTACGCTGTGTTTTCTACCCACACATTAGGGGTTTTGGTTTGGTATTTTTTACACAAAAGTCACCTTTCTTACCAGAATGCGGCTCTTAAGCCATGTGGATGAGGGTAGCCATATGCTAGAAAAATACCTTAAAAAAGAATAAAAACCACCTCCCTTAAAAGCAATTCAAACTTAACCTGGGTAAGTAAGGCTTACTAAGCTCTTTTCAGCTACCTGAAGTTATTCTCATCTTTCTAAATGTTTACTGTTAAAATTACAATCTATGCCAATTAATTTCAGTAGCATGTTGGGACACCAACCACTCCTTGTGGTCAATACTTGTAAAAGAAAAGCCAAGTTCATGAAGACTGCATAATTAGCGCTGGAACACGAAGATAACTAGGCAAACCAGGTATTATTTCATCAAAAATGGGCATATAAAACTTCTAAACAACGTTCTTTTCTAACGTTTCTCTTTCAAAAAAAAGAGCCACAAAAAAGTACGTACATAAACTTTCAACTAAGTCTTGAAGCATATGAAAAGCTGACAGCCAAGCAAAGTTATCACAGACACAAAATACCCAACAAATGTTGTAAAGAGCCAAACTTCTAATAAAAGGCTAAGTGACAGTATTGCAGAAACAGTCAAATACAGTGCATTCACATGTTAATATTTTGTCAAAATACTTTTTCATTGGCAAATTCTGGTTTTCTTAACTCAAATTTAGCATAAATTCAACCAAGTTTGCAATGGCAAAAGTAGTAGCGTTTTTCTATTTTTTTAGTATTCTTTTTTGCCTCCAAATTTATCTTTTTGTTTAATAAATCAATAAATAGTCATTTGGAACAATTTTTTCCTTTTTTTTTTTTTTTTTGGAACCAAAGGACTGTTTAGAAACACCCCCTCCTTCAAAACCTCCTGCACCACAGATGTTTTGAAGTGTCTGAGAGGAACCAATGAACCAAAACCAACCTCCCAATTCTGAAGATTCCTACACCACACAAATTTGGAATTCCATACAGCTAGGAAACAATACATCAGAAGAAGAAATGTGCAATTATTTTTCAATCAAGGCAAGTTTTCAGCTGCGCAAATCAGCAAGTTATCTTAAACCAGAGCAGACATCAAGATTCTGAAAAAAAATAAATCAATATTTGTGTATATCATGACAAATGTGAATTTTAGATCAACTCTACAAACAACTCCTTCAGCATGCAAATAAAACGGCACAAAATTACCCATTTAGTTTAACTGTATTAAAGACAAGCAAGAAATTTTTTAGCACTACAGAAAAAACCACATACCTCACAAATGTTTTGTATGTTATTCTGACATCGTGTCCTTCCTTTTGGCTATCCTAGGCTATTCACATAGTCATATCTGATGTAATCTGAAAAAAGATCATCAAACTCATTAGTAAAAGCACTCTTGCTTCATCAGGAAAATAATGTTAAGCACAAATAATAGGATAGCAGTACTTTGAAATATGCTGCATATACTTACAGCAAGCAAGCTTCTGACCAAGAGGAAAAAAACTTTTAGATTAAGCTATCATAAAGAACAAACTAAAAAACAGTGTTTCAAGTAACGTTTGCCTTGTTAATTTTTTTAAAGATTAGGTGGATATCCAGATTTTAGCATTACAAACTAATGTATTCAGATACCTACTTCTTTTCCCATTTGCCACTCCTGTATGACTAAGAGAGAGACTATGCAAAAAACCCTAATAATTCTACTTGTCTTCAGAGCTTACAGCAAGTTTTTTGGTAGCAGGTTATTCGTGGGAAACATGCATGCCCACCATTATTTTTACAACTGTGAGATAAGATAGGAAAACAATGTTTTAACTCTAATTATTAGACCAAGCTATGGCAAATCTAAAAATTAAGAAGCTACCCATTCCAGAATCTGTATGTAAAAGAAAATGGCTCACAACTATGCCAAAGGGAATATGCACTTAGAAAGTTCTCCTTGCTAGAATTCCACCATACAGACAAATAATTACCATACGACTTAATGACATACAAGTCAGTATAAGGACTGAAGAATCACATTCCTTCCCTTTTACAAGTAATACTCAAATCCAGCACAGACTGTGCAAAGTAAGAGAGCACTGGGAGTTTTAAGAGTGTAGAAGATTACCTTTTCCATAACGAAAGAAGAAGAGGAACAACACATTTTATTTGGAAAAGCCCATACTTTTCAAAGCTTGAAAATTTCAGCAGCTTAATTTTGGAAAGCACCTTATGGCATTTGGAGCAGGACTGCAGCACAAAAACCTTGAGTTAGATGTCTATTTGGGGAAGAGAACAGAAGAGGTGTGCGCCCGAATTTCTGACTGGAAAAGCTAGTGACCACATGCATGCTGCACAGACACCGCTGCTGTACTGGTTTCTGGAAAATTAACTTGGGACCCCTGTTCTGTGCAACAACACTGACTGCCGCTGCCATTCTCCCACCCAGTTTTCCTGCTGCAAACTGTAACATCTGCCTGGCAATTAAATCCCCAACACATAATCAAGGAAGATTTTTTTTGTCGCTTTGTTTTATATAGTACAGGATAAAATGAACAGCTTGGAGTAGGAATTTCGAATTTGTGTCTGATGAAAGTTGGCTTAAGAAGTACCTAGGTTTATTTCTTCAGTTGCCTTATTTTCTAGTATTTAAAATAACAAGGTTTGTGACATGGAAGCTTCACCCTTTTATTCACAAGGTTAATTTAAATTAAAGTATTTTGAGAGTAATGCAAGGATTCTGACATTTAACAGCTATAGAAAATATGCAGCCACTTACTTATACAAAAAAAGCTTCTGAAACTAGCTTGATACAAAAAAACATTCCAAATACAACATTACCGATGGAGCTCTTCAGTACACATTTTCAATTTTTCCCAATTCAAGGGGAATTATACCAATGCAGACTTCCCCTGAAAATGAGAAGCCTCTTGTCTTATTTAAACAAACTCATATATTCTATTGCAAGCCTAAAAGGTAATGCAAATGTTTATTTATGCACACATAACTGCCTGAAGCTACTGATCGCTTTCAGTTTTGCTTTATAATAAGTTTTTACACTTTTGTTAAACAAGTTTTCATAATATTGTGAAATCCACAATCATTAAGTTGTCATTGACATGGCATTTTGTGAAAGCTAAGTAGGAACACATAAAAAGAAGACAGGTTGAGTGTATCACATTAATTTGCAATGTCACCCACACCCATTCTCCGAGTCGAAGATGACAAGCAACAGAAGACACGCTAAGCCTCTGCAGGTGAAATATTAAAGTCAGAGTAATCACTAAAAATTCTTAACAGACAATTCATTGACAAGAGAAAGACATGATTTGTTCCGTCAGTTCCCTAATCCTAAATGCAATTCTGTGCAAAATTTCAGTGTTTACTGTAGCCTCATCAGTTATTTGTTTACATGGAAGTGCCACCACAGTTAAGCTTTTGCAAAAATAATACATTTAGTCATTCTCATGCGATTTCTCCCTCCCCTGCTCCTGTATGTTGCTCTCCTTGCAGCTGCCTACACCATTACCTCCCACCTTGGTCCCCTTCAAAGGGAAGAGGATCAATGTTTGAAAAGCACTTAGACTTTATGAAGAGCTAAGCATCCCCACTGAGATGCTCACAGCTTTGCTCTAGACTATCAGCTTCAATGCGTGTCCTAACCAAATTTACATTGAGTCTTTGTTGTACACTTAAAGTACAAACCTCCAGGACAAAGCATGACACTTCAACCTCTAACATGCCAAGCAATAGTTTTTATTTTGACCTTGAGCTTTGATTTCGAGATAAATCTTTATCTAGCACTGGAGGATAACATG